AACAAAAAAAACTTTTCATTTTATAATACACAGGTTAGGTATTAATGACACATTTTTAAATAGGACAATTGAATGTAAAACCTGTGTTGCTTTACTATAACTAGAGGAGAATACAGCTAGCACTGTATCATATCTTACTGCAACATACATACTGTATTACCTCCTGCTAGTCTGATATATGCTAGTTGGTATTGCCATGGTAATGAGGTTAGATGGCATTCCTTGTTCCTCTGATTTTTCTTCTTCAATCTTGGAAACAGGAGGCATATGGGAAGAAAGCTCATTCAGTACTTTTCTATAAAGGGTCTTCATGAAATGATTCCTCTACATTTATGAAATTTGATTACACCTTCTGATTCTGCAGATTCATCTGTCTCTCCAATTGCTGCTACCTGAACAGTTTGTATTTGTGGCAACTAAATAACCAATGTTTATGTTGTCTCAGTTACTCCCCAGACTTGTTGGGTTTGGCCTGAGGGCAACTGCATTAGAGTTATAGCTGGGAAGCCGCTTCTGGTACCTGATCTAGCTACAGAAACCTGAGCTAAATCAGAGATTGAATTTTGATCAGTCTAAGTCTGCATATGAGCAGATTTGCTCTCTATCACAGAATGTTACACAGAATTTGTTCCATTCTGCTGGCATTCAATTATTTCCATGATCATTTGTCTTAATACTTTTTTTCCTGCCACATTTGCTCATATTAAGACATTTGTAGTCAATGCCTTGCTCCTTCCCTCTTTCCTCCTTCATATAACCCTCCGTTATGTCATTTCTGTAATGGACCACCCCACTGATTACAGACGGGAAGGGGTGGAGATGATGAGCCCACTGCCCCTTGGGAGCTTCGCCACCACCCAGCATCCTACTGCAGTTGGCCCCAAATGGACCCCAGTCACCTCTGTTGTGCAGCTGGCTTCTCTGCCTAGATGGGACCAGTAGCAGTCATTTTTTATGACACACACTGGGCACTAACATTATTTGAGTCTTTGTCTTAATGTTTCTTGTCTCCTTGTTAGATAGGACAAGAGTCTCAAGGTCTGGGCAGTTCTTACGAAGTGCTATTCTTGCTAAGTGCTAAAATGTAGTGCGGTATTTTGCAGATGCAGCTGAAACTGATGAGCTTGACTGGAATTGCAACTGGATAAGTTTAGCTAACTGCAAAGAAGAAATCAACATGTAATTAACCTTCAGAGAGGCAGAGCTTTGGATGTGAATCCCCTGTCTCCTTTACCTATTACAAATAAATAAAACAACCTAATGACAGCCACATCTTATTCTTGAATAGACCACCCCAAGTGGCAATCCCCTTGAGTTCAGTAACATCCTGACCAATAACAATTCCAGGTATTATCATTCTTGTTGTCTCACAACAAACGTTAAAACTTACTCCACTGAACATCAGGTGCCTTTAAGGAGGTAAATCAGAATGTAGTGCTGTGAGAAAGTTAAGATAATGCTCCCTAAGGGGAAACCAGACTCCAAAACTTAGAGATTCTATTGTTCAGAACTCAGTGTGTCAAGGAGGAGGTCTATATGGAACCTGAAGATTGCTGAGCTAGACAGAGGGAGCATCCAGGTCTGAATTCATCACTCTCATGCAAGGTGTTGCAAACACAGAGAGATATTTTCAACTTCCATAGTTCTTTGGCAGCTGGAGCAGTTGAAGGATAAGGCCAAAGTTGCATTCAGAAGAATGGTTTGCTTTCTCTATTTCATGCTCTTCACTTCTCTAGAAGCATGAAATCTGGGTCAGTTTATGTAGGAGTCAGAGCAGGGTAAGACTGGAGAGTAAAGTTATTTTGTTTTGAAAGGGAGTATGAAGCGAGTAGTTTAAGAAGTATAAGAGTCTGGCATGAAGTACAGAGTATTTTTCATCCTGGACATTCTTCCTTTCAGAATGTAGCACTTCAAAATGCAGACCATATTGAAAGGTGAAGGTGGTGGCAGGAGTGTCCAGGAGAGGGAAGATCATGGATGGAATATTCATTGCTCTGTTGAAAGGAAATTCTGAGTGCAGCAGTAAGAGGTCGCACAGTCAAAATGGACTACTCATATTGTTCATTTCAAACAAAAATCTAATGGAATTCTTCAGTGACTCAGTAGTTACATATCTTTTGAATGTAAACTGGTTGTCTAATATATGAATCAACTTTTCAGGTAATCTTTGGTGGTAAAATTTTGTTTTTGAAAACCAGTCTGCCCAGCCGGGCGTGGCTCAGTAGTTGAGCGTCGACCTAGGATCCAGGCGATCAGGGTTCGATTCCTGGCCAGGGCACATGCCCAGGTTGTGGGCTGCAGCCAGTCAATGACACTGTCATCATTGGTGTTTCTATCTCTCTCTCCCTCTCCTTTCCTCTCTCTGAAATCAATAAAGATATATTTTAAAAAAAGAAGAAGAAGAAAAGAAAATCAGTGTATCATGTCTGTTGGGGATTGAGATGGGTTTCACTCATTCAGAAGAAATATATACAAGATTTTAATATCTTTGGACTCTTAAAAATGTGAACTTAGGCCTCCCTGGACGTCTGAGAAGTCCTGTCTGAAAATGCAAGCTGGGAAAGGCTAGATAGAGACTAACCTATACATCACTCTGGTGAGAAAAGAATCTACCACCATGCCCAATCTCAGTAGTTAAAAATCCATAATTGGGGGGATAAGTAAACAGATTACTAATACTAAGGAAAAACTAAGAGATGAGCTGCCTTCCCATCTGTTCTTTATCTGTCACAGAGGACTAGAAAAGAATCAGAGGCCTGGCCAGCGTGGCTCAGTGGTTGAGTGTCGACCTATGAACCAGGAGGTCACAGTTCAATTCCAGGTCAGGGCACATGCCTGGGTTGTGGGCTCAATCCCCAGTAGGGGGTGTGTAGGAGGAAGCAATCAATGACTCTCATCATTGATGTTTCTATCTCTCTCTCTCCCTCTCCCTTCCTATTTAAAAAAAAAAAAAGAATCAGGGGCTGCCCAAGTTTTAAGTGTGAGCTTTGGTTCTTTATAAGAATGTTCAGCTCATATGATGAGGCTAGAAATGAGAGAGGGTTTCAGGAACAAAGACCATGCAGTTTCCTGGAGGTGCCCAGAAAGTTTCTCTTCAGAATGTCATGGTGACTGCAAATGCAAGAAGGCAGAGTGTAATGTCTCTCCTACCCGACCTGATGGTGAGCCACTGGGGGACTGGTTCACCTGTATGTTCCCTGATTACCTTGACTTTAGCCTAGACAACCTCCACACTATGAAACAACCCCTGCTGATTCAGGAGGACCACTGCTACAGAGTTGCAGGTTCTCTCTGCTTTCAGTACAAACCACTATGAACTCACAAGGGAGAGCTTTCTCAGTCTGGTGTGGAAAGGCTAGGTCTCTCCTCGGTCCTTTAGCTTCCAGCTTTAACTGCCAGCTTTGATAGCTGGGAAGCTATTAGTAATTACTATAAAACATCCATAAAATGGGTCAAGAATATAAAACTCTTAAGAGGGGAATGGGGAATACAAGAATGCAGGTGTTCAGAATGGGGAGCAAGGTCATCTATTCTGTGTCACTGCCCCTTCATAAGCACCAAGGACACTCCTAAAAACATTAACCTAATTGAGAGGTCCAATGCTGTATTCTAAACTTGTGCCTTACAAAAAGAATCCTTATTTTCTAGGGTCTTTGAGATACTTACCAAATTTTATCCAATATGTCTTTATAAAACTAAATGAACTTTAAAAGCAGAAATAGAATGAACCTCATTTTCTAATCACAATGCAGCAAAAGCAAAAACTAAGTAGAAAATGGGAATATTGTACAGCTCTTGGGTCAGAAGTATTAATGAAAACTATAATAACAAACAATTTTGAAATTATCAATAATAACAATGATGAATAATTCTATATAACAACTTGACTGGGCTAAGAGAAGCCCAAATAGCTGGTAAAATATTTCTGGGTATGTCTGGGAGGATGCTTCCAAAAGAGATTAGCATTTGATGAGTACAGAGATCTGCCCTCATCAATCGAATCCATTGAGAGCCAGAATAGAACAAAAAGGCGAAGGATGAATTCCCTCGATTCTTGTGTTGGGACCATCATCTTTTGTTGCCCTTAGATATCAGAGCTTCTGGTTCTCTGGCTTTTGGACTTCAGGATTTACATGCCCCCTCCCCCGCCTCCAGATCTCAGGCCTTTGGTTGAGTTACACCATCAGATCCCCTGGTTCTCAGTTCTTCGGACTCTAGACTGAAGGATACCATCGGCTTTCCTTTTTCTCCAGCTTGCAGATGGTATATTATGGGGCTTCTCAATATTCATAACCACATGAGTCAATTCCTATAAAAAATCTCTCTTTCTCTCCATATATATATATATATATGCTTCAGTTTCTCTAGAGAATATTGATACAAACATTATATATAAAAACTATGGAATGTGACCAATGCTGCATTTAGAGGAAAGTCCATATCCTTAAATTCTTTCATCATTAAACAACCAAAAGTAAAATACAATACGCTGGATATTTATTGAAAGCCTACACTGTGTAGGGTCTGAACAAAATATATTTCATTTCATCTTCCTAGTACTTATGAGGTGGGTACTGTTTTTGCTCTTCATATCACGAGATAGGTAGGTACTGTATTTTGTCCTTATCTTTTTGAAATAAAATTAGGGACATCCACACAATGTTCTATGATCTCTTTTTCCAAGAACTATTTCACATATTCGTTGATTCAGTGCCACGAATAAATAGGGATGTTCTCTACCTTGTAAAATCCAGTAATGTGTGTTTATTATATAGATGAGGGGGAGGATGAGCTCATATTATGACTGCAACTCACCCTACTAGCTAAGAATTGACTGTATTAAATGCTAAAGATGATACATAAACCCAGCATCATGGTGGCAGAGAGTAAAGTGATTCCAGCTTAGGGACAGGAGTCAATTGTGGTGCCTGTTGCCACTGCTCATGGAAGCAGCTCTAAGTTGTGCAAACAATTTAGTTAATGTGATTGAAGCAGAAAGAGCATATATATTTCCACTTTATTAAAATATTGCATAGATACAGAGCAGTTGGGCACATCCATTCTAAGGCACTATTCTGATTGGAATGCAATTCCACAAGAGAGAAAAGAGAAGCCATTACATTCAGTGTTTTTCATTTCTACATTCAGACTCCTCCCAAGTTACATTTTATTGCTACTAGGATCTCAATTTTAACCCCACATTTATAGCAGCATCATACAGGGACCGGGATGACAAGAATTAAAGACACATCCTGGCTTGAGCACTTGATATGATTTGGCACTTAATACAAACTCTCTTGCATTGTTCTCCATTTGTTTCCCAACTCTTGTTTAACTAAAGATATTATAAACTCTTTATGAACCTGGCCCATGAATTGATTTCTTCACTAGTTTCCATTAAGCCTAGGACAGGACTAGTTAGGCACAAAGTAGATACTCCCAAAATACTTATATTAAATATGACTTCCAAGAACTTCAGTGGAATAGAAAAAATATACTTTCCCTAATTCTAGTTTAAGGAAAGGATGACTGGTATCTTCATAAAGGGAAAATACTTGAATGTCCTATTTCTTATATTTTATAACAAGGAACTAGGCTGAATGAATATTTTCACATATTAACAGCTTTAACTGACAAAGAGAGTTCTTCCCTTTCTACAGGAGTTTGAGTCATTACTACGATTATATGAGAACATTTATATAAGTAGCAATGTGTGTGTATGTGATTATAAGTAAAATTCGAAGAGGTTGAGAATCACTGAGCAACTTATAATGTATCTGAGTGAGCCTCACCTCCTTAAAATATGTATGTTTATGTGTGTATTACATAAAAAACATATATGTCTAAAAATTTTTTTCATAACACCCTTCAAATGACTGGAGATAACTAGGCTTGGGAGTAATAAGACTATATTGATAAATACAGAAATATATGTTAAAGGCAATGTATTCCAAGGAATATTTGCAGAACACTAGTTCTGTAGGTTATTACTTGGGTGCACATGAAAAAGGATTCTAGGGTCAAAACATTGAGCCAACAGAGGTGCTTTTTCTGCCTTTACTGAAGGACTTGTCAGAGATTCTCATACTCTGATGTGCACTGTGAATTTAGAAAGGGGAAATAGCAGGAAGGGACCCCAAACTTATTTGCAGAATATCTTTTAGAACTAAGTGTTCTATGACACACACTTAGAGAGACATCAAATTAAAGAATGAGTAAAATTTAAAAAGCACTGAGAGACATATGTTTGAATACCAAAGGAGAATAAAAAGCAATGGACACTGGCTCCAAGTCAATCTAATTTGAATTAGATTGTACTTGTATGACTTCAACTGTCGAATGGAGTCTTCCACATAGAGCTTACTCATTCTGTGAACAAAATAAATCATTAAATTAATAGCTCTAAGCCGCATTACCCCAAACAGCCAAATAAGCAGATTAGCAAACTTTGCAAAATTCAAAACAGTTAAAATCTTAATTTCTTAAACATAAAAATTGTCAATGAAAATAACCCAGCTCTTATGAGGCAAATAAAATCCTCTTTATCCATATGTTCCTGACACATTTTTATTATTTGACAAAACACACTGTCTCCTTTCTTGCCACTTGGAACACAAACAAAGCTTTAAACTAATATAACCACCTTTAATAATGACAGCAGAATAATTATGGTTCTGCTATAATAGATATGCCAGATAGACAAGATTATCCATTATATCAACCCTACCCTATATGCTTTATGCTTTCATGTGTGATACGGTTGGTTTCAGACACAAAACTTTTCATTTTCATTAAAAAAATGAGTTGTAAAGATAGAATACATCAAATCTAGGAAAGTTGCAAGAGTAAGTGGATACTCTAGAATTCACATGCCTTGGGAGATAGGTTTTTAATAGTAAAAAAAAAAAAAAAAATCTGTTCTTATAAGCTCAAACAAAAAAGATTCTTCCAAGACAAACAGACTGCTTCAGGTTAAGATTTTTTTGAGTTAGTGCCAATTTCCGTATGACCTGTTTCCTTTAATAATTCTTAAAGAAGTCCTCTAAAGTGAGTGACTTGGTGCATAATAAGGCCTGCTCTCTGTCTGAAGCTTTTAGAACAATGACTACATTTGTATGGCTTCTCCCCTGTATGAATTCTTAAATGAATAACAAGGCTTGGTCTCTGTCTAAAGCTTTTCCCACAGTAATTACATTTAAAAGGTCTCTCTTCAGTGTGAGTTCTCTGGTGCAAAGTAAGAGCTGTCAGTCTACTAAAACTTTTCCCACAATTGTGACATCTATGAGGTTTTTCACCCGAATGAGTTTTCAGATGTCTTTTAAGACTTGATCCATGACAAAAGCTTTTCCCACACTCAAGGCATTTATATGTCTCTTCTTCAGAATGGGTTCTCTGGTGCCCTATGAGGTGTGAGCGCCGAGTGAATCGCTTTTTACACACAGTGCATTCATAGGGTCTTTCCCCCGTGTGAAGCCGTTGGTGTCTATAAAGGTCTGAACTACGAAGGAATCTTTTTCCACATTCAGGGCATTTATGAGGTTCCTCTCCTGAATGAATTCTCTGGTGCCCTGTAAGTTGTGACTTCCGGGCAAAACATTTTCCACACTGAGAACACCGGTGAGGTTTGTCTCCTGGACTCTTTTTCTTATGGGTTCTAGGGTTGAGAGGTTCTTCCAAGCTAGAGCTCTCAGGTTTCTCTCCTGTAGAGGGATTCTGATGATCTACAAGTTTTGTCAAATCTGTCTGTAAATCCTCTGTGGATTTTTCCCATTGATTTTCTAACTGCACATAGTCTTTTTGCAAAATGGGATCAGGGAGAGCATTCCCCTCTAAAGGAACAAGAAATGGGTACATGTTTTCCAGTTTTTTCTGTTTCGATGTATCTTCTTCATTGTCTATCCCGATCTCAAAACCTGGGAGAAGAAACAGAAACTGCAGATGTCACTGTGTCCCACAAAGAAAAGAACATGAGGGTAAATGAAGATTTATATTAAGCTACCAGTAGGGATATATAGATTACTTAATAGAATCCAAAACTCTTTACCCTGACTAAGGATGAATTTTTCATTTCTTTCTTCTCCAGTATCAGTGAACAATTACTTACCTATCTTGGATTCAAGTAATTGTTTAATTTCTTTGGAATCTTGTAGTTCCTTCACCCATGCCTCTTCTCTGTGCTCCAATGGAAAGCTCACATCGAGCTTTGGTATTGGATATCCTGGTCATTAGAAAGATGAAAAGCATAATTGTTTGGGTTATCAACAGTTTTTCCAGGGTTCAGGATGATATTTTGGACATACAGCCAGTTAATATTTACTTCCACCTTAATTACTATTATTTCACCTGGAATCTCTTACAAGACTGTTTTAAAAGATAAGAAGAAAACAGAAAAGAGAGAACATCCTTTTGTGCTCAATTCAAAACTATTCTCCTCTAATCTATGGAAGGAGAGGGAATCAATTCTGTGCTGAAATCACTGCATTAAATTACTTCTGTCTCTATTTTGATAATAGATTTAATTAGGTTAGAGCCAAAATATGAAGTAAATTTTCATAAAGTTTTGGCATATTAAAACAGAAATGTTACTACTGAGTACCAAGTGAAGAGGGAGAGGTAAAAGTAGAAGTTATGAAACTACTGAAATAATTTCAGTTGAAATTTTCAAATTAAAATGGAAATTGACTAGGTTGGCAAGCAGCAAAAGCAGTCTTTATGTTTGTTTCAAGTGGATTCTCTTGAAATTAACCCAAATATCCATCAAATAGTGTTTCTCACAGTCAATATAAGGATAAACGAGAAGTTTCTATTACTCTTGCTCCCCTTACATCCTAGACCCTTCTCTTCATTGAGAGCCCCCTGTGGCTCAAATCCTCTTATCCACACCCCTTCCTTGCTTTCCTCAGCTCTGTCAAAGAATATTGGTATGCAGTAAAATGTGGGTTGGAAATGGATGATTTGAGATCTAAATGCAGAATGATCTTTACATATTAGTATTATTAAAATAACAGTAGCAAGCTACTTTGATGGAAATTTAAATTTCAAAACATTATATCAAAACAAGATTAAGTTTTGTTTAATAATCTATATTAAACAACTCAATCAAAAGGCAGAGATTATCAAATTGGATTAAAAAGTCCAATTATATGCTGTCTACAGGAGACACACTTTATATTCAAAGATACAAATAGAATGAAAGTGAAGAGATGGATCAGCAATTCCTCTTCTGGGTATTTATCTGAAGATTATAAAAACATTAACTTGAGAATACATATGCACCTCTACATTCAGTACAGCATTATTTACAATAGCCAAGATACAGAAACAACTTAAATGTCCATTGACAGATGAATGGATAAAGAAGTGTGTGAGTGTGTGTGTGTGTGTGTGTGTGTGTGTGTGCGTGTGTGTGTATTTCCATTTCATATATACCAACAACTTCACTTTTTGCTGACAGAGAATATATTCCAAACTTTAATATAAAATCAATTGGCTTCTTCCATTACTTTAAAATTTCTTCTTCCACTCTGCCAGCAAGTTGTGCTTTCCACTTAGCCTACAATAGGATGTGCTTCATGTATTACATCTAAGATGTTTTCATTATTTTAAAAAAGCAGTAAAAGTATAATTAATGTTTAAATTATGGAATAATAAGTCTTGCATCATTTTGAAAAGCATAATATATCACTTTAAGAGTGATGAGAAAGGGGTAGTTTCCTTTATTCCTAATTGGTATATTTTACTTTTTAAATTCATTCTATCTTTCCCTTATTAAATACACTAGACTTTCCTGTGCTTTAGAAAGTATTAAAATCAAGATCAGTAGTGTTTCTCAGAACCATATGTGATGTTTGTACCACTGTTGCTAAGAAGAGCGAATTAAAATGGGAATGGAAATGCATATGCAGAATGATTTATGATTAAATATTATTACCTAGTATTTGACAAAAGTTCCCAGATTTGATGAAAGACATGAATATAAACATTTAATTAGTTCAACAGACTTCAAATAGGATGAACTTAGAGACTCACACCAAGATATGTTATAATCAAACTCTGAAAAGCCAAAGACAGAGAGAATCTTGAAAGCAGCAGAGAGAAAAGACTTATTACATACAAGGGAGCCTTAATAAGAAAATATGCAGATTTCTCATCAGAAACTTTGGAGGTCAGAAAGCAGTGGACTAACATATTCAAAGTGTTAAAATAAATAAACTCTCAACCAAGAATCCTATATCTTAGCAAAACTATCCTTCAAAGGTGAAGGAGAAATTAAGACATTACCAGATAAACAAAAACTGGGGCATTCATTACCTCTAGACCTGACATGAAAGAAATGCTCAAGAGAGTCCTGCAGGATGAAATAAAAAGGATACTAGACAGTAACTTGAAGCCATATGAAGAAATAAGTACCTCAATAAAGGTAAATAGTGGGCAATTATAGAAGCTAGTATTATTGTAACAATGGTTTATAATTTCGCTTTTTGTTTTCTACATGATTTAAGTGACTAATACATTTTTAAAAACACAATTATTAGTCTAAAAACTAGTATTATGGTAACATTTATAACTCCCCATTTTCTTTTCTATATAATTTAAGAGAATAATGCATTTAAAATAATTATTAGTTTATGTTTTGGGGCACATAATGTATAAAGATGTAATTTGTGACATCAACAACTGAAAGGAGTGGGGATGGCGCTCTAAAAAACTGCAGTTTCTGGATAGTATTGTAATTAAGATGTTATAAATTCAAATTAGAGCGTAATAACTTCAAGATGTTAAACGTAATCCCCCTGGTAACCACAAAGAAAACAACCATAGAATAAACGCAAAAAGGTATGATAAAGGAATTTAAGCATTTCACTACAAAACAATCGACTAAACCCAAAAGACAGTAATATAGAAAATAAGGGACAAAAAAGCCCTAAGACATATAGAAAACAAATAGCAAAATGATAGAAGTTCCTCCCCATTGGTAATATACAGGTTGTCTAAAAAAATGTACACACACTTTAACAGCTGATAGCTCAATTTTGAAAATGACATGTATTTTAATAAACACTACCTTTATAATTACTCAAAGTGTGTGTGTACACTTTGGGGGACACCCTATATAACCATGTTAGGCCACAAATTACTCTCAATTGATTTAAAAAGACAGATATGCCACAACAGGATGAAGTTAGAAAAATAATAACAGAAAGAAAACGGGGAAACTGACAAATTTGTGAAAAATAAATAACATAGTTTTAAACTACCAATGGATCAAAGAAGGAATTACAAGGGAAATTAGAAATTACTTAGAGATAAATAAGAATAAAAACACAACATATCCAAACTTATGGGACACACTGCATGCAGTGCTAAGGGGGAAATTTATAGCTAGACAGGATGGGGCAAAAGTAGGTTTACAGTTGTTCATATGGAAAATAATTCAGTAATTAATAAATTATAATACAAGAATAAACTGTGTTTCACAAACTCACAACTGTAAACCTATGTTTGCCCCACCCTATGTATAAATAGTTATATTAATAAACAAGAAAGATCCTACAACAACATAATTTTACAATTTATGGAACTAAGAAGAGAAAAAAATAGAACCCAAAGCTAGCAGAAGGAAAGAAAAATTAATGATTAAGCAGAGATAAACAAAATGGAGACTAGAAAAACTATAGAGAAAATCAATGAAACCAAAAGCCAGTTCTTTGAAAAGATCCAACAAAGACGACAAACCTCTAGTTAAATGGAGTAAGAAAAAAGAGAGAAGGCTCAAATCACTAAATTCAAAATTAAAGTGGGGGCATTACCAATGATTTTCCATAACTAAAAAGGATTATAAGAGAATACTATGAAAAATTATACATCAGCAAATTGGAAAATCAAATGAAATGGACAAATTACTAGAAACACAAAGCCTACCAAGACTAAATCATAAAGAAACAGAAAAATACGAATAGACTTAGAATTAGTAAGGAGGTTGAATCTATAATAAAAAAATCTCCTGATGAAGAATAGCCCTGGACCTGATGACTTCATTGGTGGGTTCTAGTAAACATTTAGAGAAGAGCTAATACCAATGCTTCTCAAACTTTCCAAAAAAAATTCAGAGGAAGAAACACTTCCTAACTCATTCTGTGGGGCCAGCATTACCATGATACCAAAGCCTGAAAAAGACACTAAAAGAAAACAAAACTAAAAACAATATCCCTTATGAACGTGATGCAAAAATCCTGAAGAAAATACTAGCAAACCAAGTTCAGCAGTATATTAAAAGGAATACACAGATTTCCAGTCAAGATGACAGCATAGCTAAATACTGTATTCAAATCCTCCCACAACCACATAAGAATTATAACTAAACTACAGAACAACCATAATTCAGAACTGCCTGAAATATAGCTGAATAGAAGTCCTACAACTATGGATATAAAGAAGAAGCCACATCAAGACTGGTTGGTACAAGGGGCAGAGACAAAGAACAGGCTGCTCCTATACCGATGTGTGGCGGTTTAAAATTGGGAGGGATATCTTGGCTGCAAAGGTCCTCCCTGAGGAGCAGGGGTACCAGCTCCATAGCAGGCCTCTCAACCCAGGGTTCCAGACTGAGGCAGAAAAGACCCCATAACTTCTGGCTGTAAAAACCAGCAGGAATTGTGGCTGAGTGAGATGGAGGGCTGCTGGGTTTCTAGGCATTTCCTCCTTAAGGGCCCATACACAGACTTACTCAGACTCACTCCCTCTGAGCTCCAGCACTGGGGCAGCATGTTGAAAGGAACCAGGAAGGTACTGGAAGGAACTGAATTGCCTGGCATCAGGTTGAGAGTTTGGGGATAGCTTTCTGCCAGACAGAAGTGTTAGAAGAAGCCATTGTCCCTTTTCTTTCTTTTTTTTGTTTTGTTAATCCTCACCCAAGGATATTTTTTCCATTGATTTTTAGAGAGAGTGGAAGGCAGGGTGGGAGGGAGGAAGAGAGATAACATTGATGTGAGAAAGACACATTGATTGGTTGCCTCTTGCACCCGCCCCAACTGGGGCTGGGGATCAAACCTGCAACCCAGGTACATGGCCTTGACCAGGAATCAAACCTGTGACCCTTTGGTGCATGGGCTGACACTCTAACCACTGAGCAACACTGGCCAGGGCCCATTATTCCTTTTCTGAGAGCCCCCACACACAGCCAATGGGCAGGCACCATATCTGAGTCTCCATCAACCTGTCTCACACGATTCGCACCTGCCCTGGTGATTCCCAGAGACCCCGCCCTACCCAACTTGCAGGCCCACCCAAGCCGTTTCCAGGGGCTTTTCCATACAACTGGCCTCACTTGCCTCATGCTTCCAACTTTCCTAAAACTTCTCAAACACGCAATACCTGGCCTCTGTATACCCCATACCTCTTGCTAAGTAGCGCCAGGCCTGGTATTAGCAGCAGCTGGCCTTGGTTCACAGCTTGGTCTCTCCTGGGCACCTCCAAGTCCAACACAAGTAGCAGCCATCTTCAGATCACTTTGTAGCTCATGCTGGGTGTCCCAAGGCAGGGCACAGGCGGCGGCTGACCTTCCACCTCCTGGGAGGCCCCAGAGCCCGTGCACCTGGTGGACAGCTTCAGACAATGCCAGAGTACAACCTTACCACCTCTATGAGCACCAAACTCAAGGGGTGGACTCGGTGAGCACCAAAGCCCCACTGAAGCAAGTCCTGCTCCATAGGGTCAGCTTCTGCTGCAGTTGCAGCTGATCCTTGCAACCAAGTGGCCTGGGGGTCAATCCCTTCCAGTGATGTCAACAGCAATCAAGGTTCAATTACAACAGTACAGTGCACACAGCCCACACAGGGGTGCACTTGTAGCCCCCAGATCAGTTGACTGGGGAGACTGTGCCACGGGGCCCTACAGGACACCTACTACACAAGGCCACTCTACCAAGTCCAGAAGATGTAGCAGCTCTATCTAATACATAGGAACAAACATAGGGAAGCAGCCAAAATGCAGAGGCAAAGAAAAATTTCCATATAAAAGAAAAGAAAGCTCCAGAAAAAGAACTAAATGAAATGTAAACAAGCAAACTACCAGAGTTTGGAACAATGGTTATAAGGATGCTCATGAACTTAGTGAGAACTTCAAGGAACTTAATGAGAACTTCAATAGCATGAAAAAGGACATAGAAATGGCAAAAAAGAACCAGTCAGAAATGAAAGCTACATTACCTGAAATTAAGAATCGTTTACAGGGAATCAACAGTAGAGCAGATGAAGCCAAGAATCAAATCAGTGATTTAGAATATAAGGAAGCAAAAAACACCCAATCAGAACAGCAAAAAGAAAAAAGAATCCCAAACAATGGCGATAGTGTAAGAGCCTCTGGGAAAACTTAAAGCATACCAACATTGCCATCACGGGGATGCCGGAAGGAGAAGAAAGAGAGCAAGAAATTGAAAACCTATTTGAAAAAATAATGACAGAAAACTTCTCTAACCTGGTGAAGGAAATAGACATACAAGTCCAGGAAGCACAGAAAATCCCAAACAAGATGAACCAAAGGGGCCTACACCATGACACATCATAATTAAATTGCAAAAGATTAAAGACAAAGAGAGAATCCTAAAAGCACCAAGAGAAAAGCAGTTAGCTACCTACAAGGGTGCTCCCATAAAACTGTCAGCTAANATTAAAATGCCAAAGGTTAAAGACAAAGAGAGAATCTTAAAAGCAGCAAGAGAAAAGCAGTTAGTTACCTACAAGGGAGCACCCATACGACTGTCAGCTGATTTCTCAACAGAAACTTTGCAGGCCAGAAGGGAGTGGCAAGAAATATTCAAAGTGATGAAAAACATGGAATACAACCAAGATTGCTCTACTCGGCAAAGCTATCATTTAGAATTGAAGGTCAGATAAAGAGCTTC